AAGAGACTGAGGGAAACAGTTCCGACAATAATTCCGAACCTAATTCTGACGATGACTCCGATACAAATGAATTGCCGGAAAATATTCAAGCAATTGCTCGCTTGCCTCTTCCCCAAGCCCAACAAAAGTCCGAACAAGAAATCAAAAAATCATTAAAAGAAAATGGTATCTCCGACCAGGAATTAAATAAAGAAAGTTGATTAGGCGGAAAGAATTGAAAAGATTATTTAAAAGGTTTGGATACTCCCCAAAAAGTGGCCGAATTTACTCACAAAATACAACAATCTATTTTAAAGCGAGCACTGACTAATCCAACTTCAAATGGGGACAAAAAGCCTGAGAATAATTTTATTTTGCCGGCAATCATAATAATTATTTCTCTGCTTGCTCTAACCACTTTAATAATAATTATTCGTAAAAGGAGACAAAGAAAATATTAACAAATGATTGTCGCACGGAGCTCAACCTACTGATACGGTGCGTGACTTATTTAAGAAATATCTTTAAAATTTCTTTCTTTTTCGTGGTCTTCTGATAAGAAAGAATAACACAGTAATTAGAAAAAATAAAGTCAAAATGATTCCTATCGTTCATAAAAGAGGATAGTCGGTCGGTTTATATCATTTTTTCTCTGGTTCGTCTTTAGTGGGATTGGGCTGATTATTCTGGATTGGATTAGCCTTTTTGACAACTTTTTCAATTTCGTTTCAATCCCTTTGTCCTATTTCCTCGTCCCAATTGTCGCCAGCCTTGTCAATGAACATTGTAATACCACTTTTGTAGTGCTTTACTCCGTTTATTTTGTTTTTGAGAAAATTTCCTCGTTGGGAGTTAGAACCATCAGCAAAAATTTCTCAGGCAGCGGGAGTTTGCTTAATATTGTTAATTAGGGCTTCTCTAATTTCGGTGTAGTTTTCTCACCAAGAATCAAAACTTAAATTCTCCCTTAAATCTAATTCTTCACCCTCCTCCGTTTTTATTTTGAATTGGCCGTGCTTTTTGGCCTCACCAGTATCATAATAGTCGCCCCAGGTTCAATATTTTTCTACTGCCTC